CGCTGATGCGTCTCCAAACCCATAGAATACCGTCATCACCCTCTTACTGCGTACTCTCCGAATTGGGGGACTCTCTGAGGCCGTGAGAGCCGATAACGCAGCCAAGTCATCCTTCAGTCTAGGTACTACCTTCACATATTCCGGAGCGTCTTGTGAACTTGGAGTTGGCGACTCTCCCTTGTAACCAATAGACTTCCATCCCTCATCATCTCGCCCTGGTCTCCAAGCATCAAGGGTCAGATGTATTCCTTTCAAGTAGGGAACCATCGTTGGGTAGGTTCGAGTAACATAGATTAGAAAACCGCGCTTTCTCTCTAGCGCCTTGTGCTTCAAAGACCCCGACGTTGACCCACTAAGTTCTTCCGCAATCTCCTTAACCTGAAGCTTGGTCTTGTCCCATTTTTCTTGAGACACGAACACACTTACTGAATCCTCAGTGGTTTTTACCAAGGATCCAGCCCAGGCTCCCGGGTTTCGTGATCCCCATCTTCGTTTTCTCGCAGCCTCTTGTATACCAAGTCCATTCAAACAACTAGCCGCCTGTCGAGTTGCCTGCTTACATTCCAACTTATTGGATGCTGTAACTCGGCCATCGTCAACATAGATGAACAAATCCGCAGCAATTTTACCATCAGACCACCGGATCTTGAACACCCAAGGCAAGCTGGGGTCATACGTACTTGAACCTGGTAGGTTCAACTTGACTTTGTCCCACCTAAATGCGTTCTTCGGGTCCTTCCTATCTCCCAAGGCGATCTCCTTTGCCACTATGATAGCTTGCACAGCTTGGTACGGTGAACTTTTCAATCCCATTGCGGCTCAAACCCAGCGTTCCCACAAGATATAATGTAAAATACGTCATGTAGCGATAGACTTACTAAGAGGATGATAAAAGTAAAGGAAAGTTGATAGACGTTCGTAAAAGGAAATCTAGAAAGTTGTGATGATGTGTGTGGTCCATCACCAATTCTGTACGTTACCGCGTACAGACTATGCGTGCGTATCTAATAGCTCGGTGACCTTTATTTGGTCCCCTCAAGCTAAGGATCAAGGTGATCCATAGGTTGCTCAATAAACCCAAGAACCAAAAAGGTTTTCTCTCCTCATTTGTGTTAGTCGCTTTGTAAATGCATCTGCAATATTGATTGCACCATTGATCCATGAAACTGCAATCACCCGAGCTGCCACATTCCAACGTGCATAATGATAAGCAATTGAATTGTGCTTTTTGTTCAACGTAGATTCTACCAGTGACGAGTTTTTAACAACCGCTTCATTGTCCACTAACACTTGTGTTGGTTCCTCATCCAGTGGGATCCCAAACATACGCAACTTGTAGCGTAAATGCGTAATTGCTTCAATACATGATTTCAGAGCAATGAATTCAGCCCCAAAGGTGCTGGCCTCCACTGTATTCTGCCTCCGGCTGTGCCAAACAATAGGCGCCCTATTCAAGAAGATGACATAGCCGGTATGCGATCTACGAGTCTTCTTGTTTGCTGCATGCGAGGCATCAACGTATGCCAAGCTTCCCACTTGCCTACCTCTTGGTTTTGGCATGTTCGATGGCAATTGTTCCTCAGCATCTCTGTATAGAGTACGGAACTCTTTGTACGATGACTTGACTCCGGAAAAATCTGCGTTTGGGATTCTCCAATCAAAGTATAGAGTCATCTTTGGGTGTTGATCCAAGTAGGCAAAAAATCCGCAACAATTGTTCCATGTGTCCTTCCCTTGGCCCTGCCTGGTATGGACTCAAAAGAGAAACTTCCAGTAGAATATCAACGCGTCCGATCTCCTCTGTGGCCCACCTTAAGACCCCAATCAATTCTTGAAAGTATGTGTGGTCATGTGCGTTTAACTCACTTGAACCGTCTAGCTCTGGTGTATAATCGCTATTCATTGGGGTGACGGCTTTCTTTGGTAAGTTCCACCTCTGATTGTCCACATGTGCTGACCGTCTAAAACCTTTCTTTTGACACCGGCTCCAAGGTAGCTTTCAGGCTGTTCAATCTTGTAGCTTTCAGGCTGTTCAATCTTGTCCTTCTTGAATTTGAATTTGTAGCTTATCTGTTCCATAACATCTTTAGCGTTTTCAGACATGCACAAGATGTCATCCACATAACACAAAATATATTCGTAGTATTCTTCCCCGTCTGGTTTGATAGCTGCTCGCATCCAAACATCGGGATCGGCATATGATGAGTAAAATCCCAAGTTCTCCAATGTTTCTGCAAGGTGGGACCTGAATGCTAACGCAGCAGATTTCAAACCATATAGTGCTCGCCTAACAATGAATGTTTTACCCTCTTCGTCTCCAAATTCAGGGCCCGTAATCATGTAACACTTCTCAAGATTGGGTGCGGTGAGGAAAGCATTTTGGATGTCAGCGCACTGGACATCCAAACCATTCAATGCTGCAATGGTGAGTAAGATTGGTACAGAATCTCGGGCTACAACAGTGTTGTATGTAAGTGCTGCTGGCGCTTCCGTTTTATGTCCATCAGCGCAATATTGAGCTTTTCGTCGGAAGTTTTCACCAAGTTTGACATCAAATACCATGTGACCAGTGATACGTTTGTATCCAATTACCTTTTTGATGTCCCCGCCAAATTCCTCAAAGGCAACTCGATTGTTTTTCATTTCCATTTTGATGGCATCTTGCCACAAGGTGTCACCATTTTCTCGATCAATTTGAATAGCCTCCTTGACAGATTTTGGGATGCGGATACCGTATTTGTGGGTCCGTTCCCAATATTTTGATTTTACCTTACTTATAAAACGATCACGCTTTTTGTGTACATGTGGGACCCACCATGCGAATGCTGGTTCATCTTCAATAGCCTTTAACTTGGCATAATCTGCAACCTCAAGGGGAAAGGATTCTTTCATGTCTTTCAGTGTTACCCAATTGGATGATCCGTCCTTTAAGATCACATGAAGTTCCCAGCCAGCAGTTGTTTGGCGCTTTCGAGTCCCTCCACTAGGGAGGAGCATCGATCCTGCACTTTTTGTGATTGCCTTAGCGTTTTTACGGTGGTCTGAAATCTCCTCCATCAGTCGGTGCTTATGTCCGTGTTCGTCGACCTGTGCAAGTAAATTTTCAGCAAGTATATTGGCTGCGAATATTTCAGTACCGCCATCTGCATACTCCACTTCATATTGTCTTGTGTTGAGCAATTGGTTGGAGCTAGCGACGTCAATTGGTCTTCCATTTTCATCCACTATCCGTCGTTTCACCTTTGCCCTTTGGAGTTCGCCTTCTGCGCCTCGTCGTAAACCAATCTCCATGTTGGTGTAATCTTGGGCATCAAGGTCATCTGCAGCTTCTTCAGTCCCCTCAAAGTCGCCATCTTCCAGCGTCTCTGGGTTGATGAGCATACCAAAATTGCGCATAAATTTGTCATCCTCGTCGTCAAAGTCGAACATCATTTGATGAGGAATGTCTTCCTTCCCCCAGTTGATGTAAGTAGATTTAGCGTCAACTGTCTTAGAGACATCAGCTGTCCAACGTTGCATCTGCTGTTTGACAGAATCAGTTTGCTGTTCAGCGTTGGTTACCATTTGGACAGTATCCACAGAAATGGGGATACCGCTCTTTGGGAGAACCCAATATGTCATCATGGGTCCCACACGGTGCGAAACTCCAAGCCATCGTCCAATGTGATTGACGCCCAAGCCGCCATCGCTGCGAAAGAACACCCAACCATATATCGTGAAATCCAGATATTCAGTGATTTCTGGCGTGATTCCAGTTATAATTTCTAAAGGTACCCGACCATCAGAGTACTTTGAATAATTGACAGTAACATTCATTGTGTCAACCACGTAGTCCAAGACAAAGTCCCAAAGTCGTTCAGGGATACCGTGTTTGATGATCAATCGATAATACCTCCGTTTTAACTCTCAAATTCCACCTTCCGCCGGGTTTTCTTTTGGGGTGTAAGGTTTGGAAATGTGATGGTCGATATTGCATCGACGAATTGTATCCATAAATGTAGTCTTCCGGCCAATCTGGACAGGTGCACCATCCATCGTAAGGTGCTCCGGTATACCATATTTGGAAATAAACTTGTTCAAGGTTGGCCCAACTTGTGCATCATTAACTTTCTGCAAGTGGTGACAACTGTAAAACC